TGTCTTACTTGTTATATGTGGATCTTTGACAATAGTTGTCATTTTATTGAGGAAAACAGCAAAACAAAAGCCAATGGAGGCTTTTCAAATCCCCATTTAAAAAAAAAAATCTACAAAGCTAAGATATTCTATGTACTCTGAAAAATGGTTACTTCATACAATAGGTAAAAAAGAATAACAAAAACATTGACAAAATTGAGACAATCTTCAAAGATTAAATACCAATCTCAGTCTTAAAACACATTGTGTTAGTTATAATTGCTTTGTAAGTTACTTCAACTACAATGCACAACTGGATTGGTTTTGATTTGTGAATTTAAATGGGCATTTCAGTTTCATGATTTTCTTTTTAAAACTGTAAAATAACTACTTTATCCAAAGGATCATCTTCCAAAGAATTTTGTTTTGCGCTCCTCTTATTTATAAGGCATCCTTGTCTCTGAAAGGACAGTGCTCATGGGTATAAAGTTTGTAAAGCTACCAGTGACGAATTAACTGGTTTAAAGAAATTCTTAGAATATCAGGTGAAGTAGAAGATTTACTGTAGAATTTTCTTTTTTTATTGTTTAAATCCACTGTAGTTCAAAGCTTGAATTTTATATTTATGCCATAGTATTTTAACACCCTACCTGGGATGGTACCATGCCCTAAAAAATATCTCCTAGTTAGACAAGTCTAAATTTCCTCCTTTCTCAGAACAACAGGACAAAGCTGAACTTGAGGCAAGAGTTTGAAAATTTTACCCTGTTTTGTTTTTTTTAAAGATTTTCTTGAGATCAGAAGAAATTAGAAACTAGAATCCTTCATGTAAAAATATATATGTATATAACAGTTTATTAAATTCTATTTTCTAATGGCAAAGACATTAAGACTAAGAGACATGCATGAATTAAAATTTACATAGATCATCAAAATAAGTTCTAGCAACATGAATTTGCCCTCACATTCATCCTATATTTTGCAATATATTTTGTTCAGGAAGCCTTTAATTTTAATATTTAGTATCTTTTAAACTGTTACCTGAGAAAAATAACTTCAATTCCTCATAATATTTTCCTAATAGTTTTAGAAGTGTTGAACATCAGTAACAAAAGACACCGAACTATCAGAGAAACTAAGTACTCTAAAATTCCAATGAGTTTCTTTACTATTTTCACTTTCAGAATGAATTTAATTGCACATTCTCAAATTACATATTACACTAAAAAAACACAAGTAACTTCAATATCCCTAAAATGATAGTATTTGAAAGATCTAAATCAATTTCACCCATGCAAACAACTTTTATATGTATTAGCAATGTGACAGCATTTTATAACACAGAGGAAAAATGAAAGATAATCTAAACATTTAGATCTGTGAAAAATATTGGAAAAAAATAGGTTTTAAAATGCTTTTTATAGTTCCCAAATACTCTTGATTTTGACACTAGTCTACAGAACAGGAAAGCAACTGCAAAATACATTTTGAAAACATGATGCGATACTCAAAGACAAGATAATTCAACAAATTTTGACAGTATTTTTAAAAAAGGACTTGTCATTGGAAAAAGTCTGCACATCCAAGAACCAAGATGTGTAATATTTGTGATAATTTAAGTAATATTTTGTGCTTATACTATGCCCTTTATTCAGGAGTGTAAAGCACAAAGAAGAGAGTGAGAAAGTGAGAGAAGGAGAGTGAGAAAGGGCATTCTCTACATATTTAAAGAGTAAACTGAGGCACAGAGACTTTGCCCAAGGCAAGACAAAAAGTTAGATTTTTAAATACAAAATGATCCAGAATTCTACATATCCAGTTCCTTAAAATACAAAATTTTGGACTGTCTTTAGGGCCTTCAGATTATTTTATTAAACATTAGTAAGTTTCCAGCATGCCTAAGAACTGTGATAGGTAAAACCTATAAGCTTTCCATCATATTTTAAAATAACTGATACAATGAATAAGAACGTTAAGCAAAACTACAAAACTGCTTTTTAAAAGGAAATTTAAATAAATGAGATGTTTTGAGGGCAATTCTGAAAATTCTTGCCTTAATTTTTCTTCAGCAGGATTTTACAACTATCTGCTGCATATGCCAACATTAATGTAGGGACTACAACTATTTCCTTAAATGTTTGCCTTCTAACCTTTCCTCTCAAGATCTCTTATCTCTTAAGTTAACTTAGTTTGTTTTTCATTGAAAACAAAATACTAAGAAGGTTTTGTGTAAGTACAAAATAGTTAATGTTGAGTTCAGTCAGTTAATCTCTGATATTTACTTGCTTTGTTAAGCCAAGATCAAGATGTATGAGGAAGAAATCAAAACATAATATGGGATAAGCAAATAAGTGCAAGAAATATAAGACAATAAAAACAAGATACATTCCAAAAGCTAATCCTAAATTTAAATCTCTGCTTCATTCAAATATTAACTTGACCTTGAAACATGTAAGTTACTTTACCTAAGTACACTGGATGGGCATATAACTAATGTCAATTTTAGTTGCTTTATACTATCCTGTTCAGTCTATGTCCGTGTGTGTATATTTTTTCTTTTCCTTTTTTGTTGTAGTGCAGGGGATTGAACCCCAGTCCTCATGCATGTTCCAACATTATATTCCCAGTCTATAGAGAGTCTGTAGAGCCATATTCCCAGTCCAGGTGTGTAAATATTCTTAAAATGGTGATTTTAAAATTTGAGGGAAAGTTCCCAAATTGCTTTGAGAAGCTGTCTTGCTTCAGAAATACACATACATGTGCACATGCAATGAGTGCTTGTAAATATCAGTAAACTACTGTAAATCACAGCATTGTTGATGCAATGGGATTTGACAAGAAAATGCTCATATTGTTAACAAAAATGTAAGGAATACTCTTTTCAAAAGCAAGAGGAAAAAATGGTGACCACAGCCATTCATTCATCTGCCTCTTTTACTAGCTCTAACAGTGATTTGGTTGATTCAAATGTGCCCATGATCTAGTCTATAAATATTAAAATCAAAAAGGTTTAAATTCTAATTTCTGGTAGCAGTATATATGTAACAATTTCAAGTATTAAAAAATATTGTGGAAAAAAACTGCTTTAAAATACTAACATCAAATTCTTCTGAATGCAAACCAGCAATGAAATGCCTGAATGTATAATTTGTTACCTGGAGCAAAATAAAAGAAAATAAAGACACAATTGCTCTAGATTCTTTGTAACCTTTAAGGTTATATTTGCAAGGAGAGCAGTTTCTTTGACAAGTTTGTTTTAATAGAATTGAACATTTAATTTTCCCTCACAGTAATCAAAGTAAATATTTAATCATTATTACTATTGGTATATCAAACTGAATTCCAGGAATGTAATAAAGTTTGATTTGTAAATATTACATAGAAAAAGACTGAATTAACAAACACACTGCATTTTTAAAAATTTTTTCTCGTAAGTACACATTGACATCTACTTATCTGATAGCAGCATTGCTGGTTTTGAGTGATTTTTTTTTTTTTTCTTCTAGAGGGAATGCTGAATGGCAGTATTATCTTTGGAACAAATTAAGAAGATAGGAACAAACAACAGAAAAATAACTTCTACACATATATTCTTCAAGGGTAATAAATAGCTAAGTATATAATTATGGAAAAATATGCCTCAAATATACTTTTGTAAATTATCAAGTTTTTTTTTTATTAAAATATAATGCACTGTCACTACTATTTATTCTGAGAAGAACAAACTTTGAGGTTTGAGTTTTCTCCTTCAACCAACAGAATGATATCAAGAGTAAACTCAGATTAAGATCAACCTGTTTAAGCCAATGGAGAGTTCTATAGTATATCTGATTACTTTACCAATGTCCAGATATTCTGGGTTACAATCAAGAGACTCACCAAATATTTTGTATCCAAGTTTTATACCCCAAACAGGTTCTCTGATGATTTATCATTCTAGAATAGGAAATCTGAAGAAATAACAAATTATGTAACACAAATAGACATGCAAAATAGAAGGATGTAAAAGATGCTTGGCCCTGGATTTATTTCCCCTTAGAATAATTCCTTCCATAAATAAGACTTTACTTTTTACATATAGAGTCATTCTATAACTGGTTTTGGATCACAGAGAAAGTTAATGATATAACTTAAAAAAAAAAAATTCTAGATCACTTTTTTTTGTAGTCAAAATTTTGTCACCCCAAACCACAAGAAATACTCTCCAAGTGGATGCTCAGGTCATGTTATGATGTTCCTAAATAAACACATTTTTTGAGGCTTAGAATGTAAATTATATACTACTTGCAGCAGCATTTTTTTTTTCAAAAATGACTAAAAACAAACTTTAAATATAAAGCATATAAAAAGGACTATTAAGGATAGTTGTCCAAACTATATCTAGAAATACAGGAAAATATGTGTTGCCTCATAATAAAGTTAAATAAATATTTTTTTCTGAATTCTATAAACACTATGTTTTATGTTTATTTGGTTCTCATAAGTTAAAAAATCTGCTTGCTTTTACATAAATTCCTCTGAACTCTGATTTTTATTAATGTCTTTTCATTAGACTCAGAGATTATCTTTTACTTCTTATAGAAATGTGCTGTTTTTGTTGGTTTTAATAATTTAATTTTCTAGTAATAAACATGATTTAAAATTTAAGGTTCAAGGTAATTCTAAAAAAAGGTAGACACTGAACTATCTACTTTCGTACACTCTCATATTTACAAGGCCTAGCATCCACTGTGGTTTCCTCCTTAAACTTACTTGTCACATGGTTAATAAATAGTAACTATGGTCCAGATTACCTACTTAACGACTTAAAAATTCCTCAAAATTTCACAACACTATTAAGTCATTAATATGTGATTTGGACAGGTTGTAAGTATTAGTGTTATATAATTTTTTTTTGCTATTGGAAAAGAAATACAAATCTTTATTTTTTTTCTATCTAAATTAAATCCAAGCTCCATTATTTGTTCTTAATATCTAAAATGTACATTACTAAAGAAAGGTAAAGCTGTTCAAGGGCTGAACTAGTTCAATATACAATTAAGGATTATTTATTCCTGTTATTTATTTATTTTTTTTCTTTTTAAATTCCATATTAAACCCCTGGTTTCTCATGGATTAGATCATAATTTAAGGTTGCAAAAATTTCAGAAACTATTGTGCTAATACTTAGATTTCAGGAAGGAATCAGACTAAATCAAATACCTCCATTCATTGTTAGAAGATGAAATAGCTTACTAACTGATATGAGTTATGAATGTCACTATGACACAAAATTCGCTGTGATTTGCTTATTTGGCTACAAGTGCAGTATTCTTCATGAATGACAACACAGCATTTCCAACTTGTAACATGAAACTCCAGCTCATAAAGAGTATATTGTGTGACTTCAAGAAGTCTGATTGTAACAAAGTAACAACCTTTCCCCTGAAAAACATGAACAAAATCCAATGGGAAATCAGGCACAGACGGTATTATCTATTTTCGGTTTTTCTTCCTTTCCTCATGTGGTCTTGTTTCTCAACACATATAGGTGATTCCAACAGAATCTAGTACTTGTTACAAAATGACACAGCTATTCTTTTCCTTTTCCTTTTCTTTATCTTTTTCTCGAGGTTCCTTTCGTTTCCGTTCGCTATTCCCAGATTGTCTTCCACTTGATGGAGAGGCTTGTGCCGGCTGGCCCAGCTTTAAGAAAAACACACAGCAAGAAATTATTTCAACTGTTCTAAGGCGCTTTATCACAGTTATCTAGAAAGAATAGCCACAAGAGTGAAGGGCATCATCAAAGGGAAAAGAACATCCTGGTACGCAAATTTGTTATATTACGGGGTATCTGTAACATGGTTAATATACCATTCTGGATAGATATAATTAATGTATTATTCCAAATAAATGGAATTCCTAACACATAAGTTTCTAATTTAAGAGCTATAAGAATACATTAGCCTTTTGGTTAAATAAAATAGTTCTTCAATACTTCATTAAATACTAAAACAGATTTTAAAAGGAAAAAAACAAATCGTGAGAATTGAGTGTGAATAAGTATAGTCTATGAAATAAGAAAACTAATTATAACATGACAGGATTTAGTTATTAAGATTGGGGTACTCAATATTTGATCTAGAAATAAATTTTACACTTATTTTTTTTTTTTTTATTTTTAATATTTATTTATTTATTTTTTAGTTTTCGGCGGACACATCTTTGTTTGTATGTGGTGCTGAGGATCGAACCCGGGCTGCACGCATGCCAGGTGAGCGTGCTACCGCTTGAGCCACATCCCCAGCCCCACACTTATTTTTTTTTTTTTGAACTTTTTAAAGTTGTAGATGAACACAATACCTTTATTTAGTATTTTTTATGTGGTGCTGGGGATTGAACCCAGTGCCTCATGCATGCTATGGCAAGCACTCTACCACTGAGCCACAACCTGGCCCAATTTTACACTTATTCTAATGAAGAATTCTATATTTAGTTTCATCAGACCTTAAAGGCCATCTTGCTTTCTTATATACCCTGATCAAAAGGAACAGTCCTGACATGGTACAGATAATATAAAAGAAGGAGAGTACTTTTTTGATTGAATAAAATAAGATTTAACATCTAGAAACCCACATAATCATCTTATTTTCAGTGCTTAAATATTAACTGAGGGAGTGAGGAGTAGAAATGTGCTGACTTACACTGAATACTTAGTATATGTCATAGACACTGGGTTAAGTGCTAACATTTTAAATTCTTCACCAGAATCTAAGAGTATTATCTTTTATTTCACAGAGAAGGAAAATAAGGTTAAGAGAGTTATTGTCCAGGGTATTGCAATTAGGAAGAGAAAAAATAAGCAGGAAATGTAAATCAACAACTATCTGGTTCTAGTAATAGCTTAGACTACATTTACCTCACAGAAAGCAAATGGTTTCTGGTTTTTGTTTTGTTTTGTTTCAGCTGTAAAGAACTAAAAAATAAGTTTAAAAAAATCTTGCATTCAGAATCTCCAGAAAAATAATTATACATAAGAAATTATTAGGATAACCACAAATTTAGGACAATGTCAAAAAATCCATGGGTACTAAGATGCTAACATAACTCAAAAGTCAGTTCCTAATTAACTTTTTTTTTTTATTACCTCAAGCAGAGACTTTTTTATTGCCAAAGTGACGATTATATCTAAGAATTGCAATAAATTTTTTTTTGGTTTGTTTTTTTTTGGTGGTTCTGGGGATTGAACCCAAGGCTTGTGCATGCGAGGCTGGTACTCTACCAACTGAGCTATATCCCCAGTAAGAATCACAAGGCTGTTTTTACCTGGGCCTGTGTATTAGCAGTAGTAGTAGCAGCAGCAGCAGCTGCTGCTGCTTGTTCTTGTTCCTGGTAGTACTGAGAAGCCCGTCTGTCTTCTTCCTCTTGAAGTTTCTTTGCTAGTTCCAAATCACTGATTCCTTCTGGGATTTGTTCCCAATTCATCTCTTGACTCTGCTGTTCTTGTTGTAGAGATAATGCCATAAGATAGTCCTAAGGAATTAAATTATAACCATTTTTAGTTTTGAGATTTCACTCAAGAACTAATAAATATGAATATAGATGTTGTGTTCATGAAGCTCTGAGAATGGCTTTAAAAAAGAAAAACCTATCAGACTATGTACAACTATAATGCACCAATAAAAAAAAAAACCATCAGAGTTTAAATATTAAAATGAGTTATATTGCCAAGTATTTCCTTTGGGGAGCTAAGCACTTATTTCAGTGATGTCATCATTGTTTAAAATATTTTAGGAACTCATTTGAAATTCTTTCTAGAAGCAATAAATAAGATATTCAAAAGGGCTGGGGTTGTGGCTCAGTGGTAGAGTGCTTGCCTAGCACATGTGGGGTACAGGGTTCGATCCTCAGCACCACAAAACAATAAGTAAATAAAATAAAGGCATTGTGTCCATCTACAACTAAAAAATATTTTTAAAAAGATACTCAAGAAAGCTTTAAATAAAAAGAGCCAGGAGCGGTGGCACATGCCTGTAATCCCAGTGGCTTGGGAGGCTAAGGTGCTGAGCAACTCAATGAGACCCTGTCTCTAAATAAAATGCAAAAATAGGACTAGGGATGTGGCTTAGTGGTTGAGTGCCCCTGAGTTCAATTCCCAGTACCGGAAAAAAAAAAAAGAAAAGGAAGAAAGACAGAAAGAAAGGAAGAGAGGGGCTGGGAATGTGGCTCAAGCGGTAGCGCGCTCGCCTGGCATGCGTGTGGCCCAGGTTCGATCCTCAGCACCACATACAAAGATGTTGTGTCCGCCGATAACTAAAAAATAAATGTTAAAAAATTCTCTCTCTCTTAAAAAAAAAAAAAATGCAGGGTTTGGGATTCTTTGGGGAGTACATAGAAAAGATCTTAAAAAAAAAAAAAGAAAGAAAGAAAAAAGAAAACTCCGCTATTTTCAAAAGGAACACATGCATTTAGCAATTTCAAAAAATGATAAGAAAATTTTATGTGGCCAAAATATTATTAGAGATAACTATTGTTAACAGTATATAGATACATACATATATATAAACAGTATATATTAACCCCATATTTTTCTACATTCACATACAAACTCAACATCTCCCACCTCTATTACAACATTTTCTTTTCCATTTAATGTCATAAAAAAATCTTTTTTAAAAACCCTAAAAGCTGGATGTGGTGGTGCATGCCTATAATCCCAATGACTCAGGAGACTGAGGCAGGAGGATCAAAAGTTCAACTTAGCAAGTCTCTAAGCAACTCAATGAGACCCTGACTCTAAATAAAATATAAAGAAGGGCTAGGGAGGTGGCTCAGTGATGGAGTGCCCTGAGTTCTATCCCCAGTATTAAAAAAAAAAAAAAAAGTTTTATTATCTGACTTAAAACCCACTTTGTGCTGAATGAAAACTGACTTATTTTGTACACCTATCATCTACCCTCAAAAACGAGAATTTAAGTAACTTAGAGGACATGTAGAAGGTCATTCCTATGAAGAACTTATACTACTTACTCATGAGTGAGTATCTTACTAATATTAAGGGTTTGTCCTTCAAAATTTTTTCAGTTTCCAACTTGCTCTTTACCAAGTCGCATAGTTTTGAATCTCCCTTCTTGCTATTTCCACAGACACTAATCACAGCACCTTACAAATTCATTTCCTCTGCTCCATTAATTTTTACATAATATTTGTTACAAAAATTTCACACATTTCTCTTTATTACTTAAGCCTCTATATGGAGGCTATATAATTCTTTATGGCATCTGAAGGAAAATGAGTACATTTACTATCAAAGCTATTTTAAAAAAAAAAAAGTCAAAAGTCCTAGGAAGATTAACATTTGTTGAAATCAAGTATTCTTTTTTTTCCAAATAAACATTTTTTCATAATTATATACTTATCTAAATATATTATATAGTTATTGAAGAATATATATGTAGAAGTTATTGGTTGAAATCAAATATTCTTCTATGCATCATAGCTTGCTATTCAAATTACTCTTATAGAACTTAATATACAATAATAGTTGGTTCAATTTCTGCTCCCTCTGCTATTGTAGCACCTTTGAGGACAGGACTGAATGATTTTTTTAAAAAATTTTATTAGTTATTGATGGACCTTTATTCATTTATTGTGGTGCTGAGAATTGAACCCAGTGCCTCTCACATGCTAGGCAAGTGCTCTACCACTGAGCCACAACCCCAGCCCCACCATTTTTTTTTTTTTTTTTAATGCACTGGAGTTTGAACCCATGGGCACTTTACCACTCAGCTACATCCTCAGCACTTTTTATTCTTTATTTTGAGTCAGGGTCTTGCTAAGTTGCCCAGGCTGGACTCGAATTTGCAATCTTCCTGCCTTAGACTCCCAAGTCACTGGGATTACAGGCAAGCGACACCATACTTGGCTATGATTTATCTTTGTATCTGCAGGACCTAGTTATAGTTCCAGTAATACATCTTCTCATTGACTATTAGCTAAGTGAACAGTCTCTATGCACTTAAATTGTTATTATCAAAATTTACGTTCATAGTTTAACATAACCATATTTATGCCTCAGCAGGGAAGAATTAATATCATTGTCATATTTTAAGTAATAAACACACTTTAGCTCCAAAACTGCCCACCTATAGCAGGCAAAAATCTTGTTTCAGTTCTAAATGAAAGTTTTATTGCTTAGGGCTCCTCTGCTGTGTCTGCTCATCCTTTTCTTAGAAAACCTAACTACTCTTTGCCCAGTATATGCTATCTTCTAGAGTCCCTCTTTTCTGCCCTGATTAGTCAAAATATGTTTCAAATATGTGCTTAATGTCTTCATTTCTTCTTGCTTGAATTGTTGGTCTCTATTTACATCCCTGTCCTTCCAACGCATCCTCTGTTTCTTAAAAATGTGAAAATACCCAGGTCAGGCACAGTGCAGCAAGCCTGTAATCCCAGTAATTCAGGAGGCTGAGTCAGGAGGGTGGAAAGTTCAAGGCCAAGTATAGGCAATTCAGTGAGACCCTCAGCAATTTAGTAAGACCCAAAATAAAAAATATAAAAGACTGGGGATGTAGTTTAGTGGTAAAGTCCCCCTGAGTTCAATCCCCAGTACAAAATAATAAAACAAAAATTCAGTAGACCATGTCACTTTCATATTTAATAATTGGCATGGCTTCCTTACTGCAATTGGAATAAATTCAAACTCCTTATCATGACCTTCACATTTTAATATGATCAAGCCTTCTGTGCCAAAGTGTAAAATTAATGTACATATAGAATGATCACTTACCTATTTAGGAAGTATCAGGAAAACCTCACAAAGAAATTAAGAATGAATCTAATTCAAAATATTTGGATAACCAAATTGACATTTGAAAAGAATATTTTAAACAATATGAAAAAAGGCAAAATAAGCTTACCTGATCTATTTGATCTTGTTGTCCTTTGTATACAGTTTCAGGATCTGAAGGAGGCCGAAGATGAAATTCTGAGTCACAGAAATTTCCATCACCATCTACATTGTGCAGGCTTTCCCAAACAACTTTTTCTTCAGTAAGAAATCCCTGGTCTGTTACCAACAAATACAGTTGACCCTTAGTAAGAAATAACAAAAGAAAAAGTGTTAAAAAAATCAAAACTAATATTACATTTAATGAAAAATTTTAATCTGTATGTTTAGAAAGTATTAATTATTCCTATAAGCCATTTCTGTACAATACAATAAACAAACTAGTTATCTTATTTGTTCAAATATGACTGGCTTTGAATGTAGTTTATAATTAGCACACTACAATATGAAGAGAAACCCTTGGCATACTCACATATGATTTATAAACAGCTTTGTGTGGTTTGTAATATCATTTTGTAAAATAGAAAAATATTATAAAAATTCCTGAAAAAGACATCAGGCAATAAAAACATGATACTACATTGCCTGGTTTTGTTTATTTTGTAAATTAAGCCTATATGACTAATCTAAATTACACTAATTTTTCTTTTCTCTGTATCATTATTGCTCTTGCTTTGTATACCAGTTGTATTTTTTTGTGTTTCTACTGTGGCATCAAATCTCCTGGCACTATGATTGTGTTTTCTTGCCTTTTATTCCCCAGACTGTATTTTTATTTTATTTTATATTTTGATACTAGAGCTTGAATCCAGGACCCACTGAGCCTACATACATTTCCAGATCTATGAATATATAATTTATTTTTTATACTGGGTATTGAACCCAAAGGAATTTTATCACTTAGCTATATCCTCAGTCCTATTTGTTCATTTATTTGCCTTATTTATTTTTATGGTACTGAAGATTTAACCCAAGGATGCTGTACCACTGAGTTATACCCCCAGCCCCTTTCTATTTATTTTGAGATAGGGTCTTGCTAAATTGTGTAGACTGGCCTTGAACTTGTGATCATTCTGCTTCATCCTCCGGAGTCACTGGGATTAGAGACATGAGTCACTGCACATAGCTAGAATATATTTTTAAATCTCTATTGCTGGGCCTACTATAAGTTACATTCACAATCACAATGAAAGAATTTAGCAGTGACCACTAATTTTTCATGTGTGTTAGTTCTGATTCTAATCATATGTTACATCTATATATTATGTATACTATATAAGGTCTGTATATTTCGTCAGATCTGCCAAAGTAAGACCTTTTGATACTTGCTCATAGTTCTCATTAGATAATAGTTAACATAGGGTTTACCATTGGTTCAAGAATTATACTTTTTCATGGTCTCTTATATTTATAATTAATTTCATCATACTACACCATGTCTTTGCTTTACAATTTATTTTACTGGCTATTTGATAACCATAATCTTATCAATATTTTTTCTCCAAATGGTACTTAAGAATAAATTCTCTCTCTGCCTCTCTTTTTTGTTGTTGCTGTTTTGAGGACTGAAATCAGAGCTTCATGTATTGCTAGGCAAGCAGCTCTACCACTGAGTTACACTCCTAGTCCTTGTTTTTATTTGTTTATTTATTTTCCTTGGTTTTATTTTTAGAGACAGGTAATTTGCTCAGGTTGGCCTCAAATTCTAGATCTTTCTGCATCAGCCTCCAGAGTGGCTGGAATTATGGGCATGTGTTCGCCTAAAATTCACAATGCCCTAGGTTGGATTTCCAGCACACACAAAATAAATAAAGGAAATAAAATAAAATACTGAAAAACACAATTTCAGAAAAAATTGTGTTGTAGCTCAGTGGTAGAGCACATGTGAAGCCTTGGGTTCAATCCTCAGCACCACATAAAAATAAAGGTATTGTGTCCAAGCACAACTAAAAAATAAATATTAAAAAAATAATACAGAAGTTCTTATTAATGCATATAAAAATGATAAAGACAACACTAGAAAAATTTTACTTTTCTTAAAAATAGGCAATTGTAACTGTGTTACATATATATCCACAATGGAGTATTACTCAGCATTAAAAGAGAATGAAATTATGGCATTTGTAGGTAAACGGATGGAGTTGGAGAATATGATGCTAAGCAAAGTAAGCCAACCCCCAAAAACTGAAGGCCAAATGTTCTCTCTGATAAGTGAATGCAGATCCATAATCGGGGGAGGGAGCATGGGAAGAATGGAGGAATTGTGGATTGGACAAAGGAAAGGAGGTAGAGGGAAGGGGACATGGGGGTAGGAAAGATGGTGGAATGAGACAGACATCACTACCCATGTACATGTATGTACATGTATGATTGCATAATGATGCAATTCTATGTCGTGTACAACCAGAAAAATGAAAAGTTGTACTCCATCTGTGTACAATGAAATGAAATACATTCTTCTGTCATGTATAACTAATTAGAACAAATAAAAAAAATTTAAAACAAATTTTTAAAAATAGGCAATTGTATTACAAAAGAAGACTGAATGAAAACCTATCCAAACAACCTCATAAATTAGTTGTAGTGACTTGTATTAACAACATATCTGACAATATTGTCAAGATTTATAAATTGATAAAAAAAACTTCTCAAATAAATTAATTCCAGTCTTTCAAACATGGAAGACTGCATTAATGTTTTAGATTAATTAACTTGGATTCAAACTACTCAACATCTTTAGATCTTAGTTTTCTTTTCTAATGAGTGATATAGAGGTATTCTAAGACAAGAGTTTCTAAGTATTTTATAAACTACTTCTTTATTTTTATTTTTTTGGTACTGGGGATTGAACCCAGTGTGCTTTACAACTGAAGCCCAGTCCTCTACCCTTTATGAGACAGGGTCTCACTAAGCTACCGAGGCTGGCCCTGCACCTGGAATCCTCCTGCCTCTGCTTCCTAGGTGACTAGGATAATGGGCATGAGCTACCCACATCTAAGTATTTTATACATTTTTAAGTTTATATTTATTTATTTATTTTTTGTGTGTGGTGCTGGGAACTGAACTCAGTACTTCCCACTTGCTAGGTAAGCACTCTACTTCTGGGCTATATTCTCAGCCACAATGCATTTTATAATTTGAAATTTTATAATTTTTTTCTTTTCTTTCTTTTTTTCTTTTTGTGCTGGGGGATCAAAGCCAGGGCCTTGTGCTTGATAGGCAAGGACTCTATCAGTGAGATACATCACCAGCCCCCAAATTTCTGAGAAAGTTTCTAAGGTATTTTATAAATTGAAAGACAAAACTTTAATAAAGCTACTTAACAAACATCAGTCTCATCCACATGGAGCTCCCCAGAGAGGCAGTGAGGCATTGCTGTTGACTTGAAAGTCATATTGGAGCTGCTTGCAAACTGAGTGTTCTTAGGCAAGTTAGAATCTTTAGGTCTGTTTCCTGGCTATAAAGTAATAATAATAATAAATCCACACCCTATAGAGGAGTTGTAAAGATTAAATGAGATAATGAATGTAAAATGCTTAATACAGTACAAGCCACATAACTGCTTTGTTGTTTACTGTGTGGACAAGCTAGGCAAAAGCTCTACCACTGAACTACATCATAGGCCCCATAATTGTTTAATAAACCAAAGATATTGTATTCATGAGTAATACCTAAATCTCAGTTTCTGTGTCTATCTTCTGTTTTCTATATAAGTGAAAAAGACAATATATCTCTTGCTACTATGCAATCCTATGACTTTCCTTTTTCCACATTTCTCCCTTTCTCTTTATTTTAAAAGAATGTGACAATTTTTAATTTATCAACCACTGTTATGGTTTGAATATGAGGTTTCCCCCTAAAACCCCTGGGTTAATGCAGGAGATAAAATGATTAGATTATGAGAGCTGTGACCTAATCAGAGGTTTAATTCATTTGATAAATTAATAATATAAATGAACTGTGGTAAGGATAGGCATGGCTGGAGGAAGTTAAATCACAGGCATACCTTTGGGGTTTATATTTCATTCCAGGCATCTCACTTGCTCTGATTTTGTTTTCATGAGGAAAGCAGCTTTCCTCTGCCACACCCTTCCACCATGATGTTCTGCCTCATCTTGGGCCCAGAGTGATGAAGCTGGCCCACCATGAATTGAGACCTCTGAAACTGAGCCTAAAATTAAACTTTTTCTTCTCTAAATTGTTTTGCATGGGTATCTGATCACTAACACAACAACTTTAAAAATAACTAAATTTAATGAATTTTTACTTAAATATAGCAGTTGGTGGGAAAACAATTGCTACCATAGCCTTAGTCAAAGAGGAAACAGAATAAACACGTTTATTATTTATTTATGTATTTTTAACTTTATTTTATTTTTTTGTATCGGGGATTGAACTCAGGGGCACTCAACCACTGAGCCACATCCCCATCCCTATTTTGTATTTTATTTAGAGACAGGGTCTCACTGAGTTGCTTAGCACCTCACTAAATTGCTGAGGCTGGCAATCCTCCTGCCTCAACCTCAGTCACGTCAGGCATGTGTTACTGTACCCGCCTTGTATTTATTATTTTTATGATACTAGATGTTGAACCCAGGGCCCCACACATGCTAGGCAAGTGCTTTTACTACTGCACTACATCCCCAACCCAGAAACTTATTTTTAAAATATGGCTTTAGTATTCATCCAGAATTTAAAAAAATTATTTATTTATTTTTTAAAAATGTAAACATACACTTTATTTAACCTAATCCACACAAAATGTATCATTTCTATGTGATCAATATGAAAAATTATTATTTTTTATTAGTTACACATGACAGTACAATGATCTTGACAATTCATACATTTGAATCAAATGGGGTATAATTTCTCATTTTTCTGATTGTACAGGTTGCAGAATCACATTAGTCATACAGTCACCTATATACATACAGCAATAATAATGTCTATTTTATTCTGCTGCCCTTCCTATCCCCCCTTCCCCTCCCCTCCCCTCCTATCACATCTCTCACCCAATCTAATGTGACACACTTCTTTTATTTTTATTTTTTTCTCCTCACAACATCATACATGAGCATGCAATGGAGAAAGGATAGCATTTTCAACAAATGGTGCCGGGAGAACTGGAAATCCATATGCAACAAAATGAAACTGAATCCCTTTCTCTTACCATGCACAAAAGTTAACTCAAAATGGATCAAGGAGCTAGGAATCAAACCAGAGACTTTGCGCCTAATAGAGGAAAAAGTTGGCCCTAATCTCCATCACATGGGGGCAGGACCCAAATTCCTTAATAAGACACCTATAGCCCAAGAGTTAAAATCAAGAATCAACAAATGGGACGAATTCAAACTAAAAAGTTTTTTCTCAGCAAGAGAAATAATATGTGAGGTGAATAGGGAGCCTACATCCTGGGAACAAATTTTTACCCCTCACACATTAGATAGAGCTCTAATCTCTAGAGTATACAAAGGATTCAAAAAGTTAAACAACAAAAAAATAAACAACCCAATCAACAAATGGGCCAAGGACCTGAACAGACACTTCTCAGAAGAGGATATACAATCAATCAACAAATACACGAAAAAATGCTCACCATCTCTAGCAATCAGAGAAATGCAAATTAAAACTACTCTAAGATACCATCTCACTCCAGTAAGAATGGCAGCCATTATGAAGTCAAACAACAATAAGTGCTGGCGAGGATGGGGGGGGGAGGTACACTCATACATTGCTGGTGGGACTGCAAATTGGTGCAGCCAATTTGGAAAGCAGTATGGAGATTCCTTGGAAAGCTGGGAATGGAAGCACCATTTGACCCAGCTATTCCCCTTCTCAGTCTATACCCAAAAGACCTAAAAAGAGCATACTACAGGGACATAGCCACATCAATATTTATAGCAGCACAATTCACAATAGCTAGAATGTGGAACCAACCTAGATGCCCTTCAATAGATGAATGGATTAAAAAAATGTGGCATTTATACATAACAGAATATTACTTAGCACTAAAAAATAACAAGATCATGGCATTTGCAGGGAAATGGATGGCATTAGAGCAGATTATGCTAAGTGAAGTTAGCCAATCCCTAAAAAACAAATGCCGAATGTCTTCTCTGATATAAGGGGGGTGACTCAAAATGGGATAGGGAGGAAGAGCATGAGAGGAAGACTACTACTAAATAGGGAAGAGAGGTGGGAGGAAAAAAAAGGGAGAAGGGGAGTTGCACGGAAGATGGAAGGAGAACCTCATTGTTATACAGAATACATGTATGATATTATGACGAGAAAAAGAAAAGAAAAAAAAAGTGTGTCACATTAGATTGGATAGAGAGAAATGATGGGAGGGGAGGGGAGGAGTAGGGGGGATAGGAAGGGCCGAAGAATAGAATAGACATTATGACTGCTGTATGTATACAGGTGACTCTCTGACCAGTGTGATTCTGCAATCTGTACAATTAGAAAAATGAGAAATTATACCCCAATGATTCAAATGTATGAATTGCCAAGATCATTGTAATGTCATGTGTAGCTAATAAAAAAAATTAAAATAAATAAATAAATAAATATTGGGTCTTACCATGTTGTACAGGCTGGCCTTGAACACAATGATATTCCTACTGCAGCCTCTTGAATAGATTATAGGTGTGCACAGATAAATCTTAGTGCTTACTTCACAAGCATCCATTATTAAAAGTCACCCTAGTTCTTTCTATTTCTAGGATATTATCCCCCCCTTCTAGAAAATAAATATTTCTTAATGTGGTAATCTGTGAACAATTGCTAATCCGTTCCATCCTAAAAGTATTTAATAATTACTTTCACAATTTGATGGTTAAGGAATACTATAATCTTTTATTTTGAAGAAAATCAAACAATATCTCTAAATCAAGCTCCTTTGACTTAGAATAATAACTGAATAGCTATTTCTATATCATACCTTGTATTTGGTCATGGTGCTAAAATGATTATTCCGAAAGAACACACAAAGTTCTCCTTCCTGAACGGTTGAAGTTAGTTCACATAATCCATGGTATGTCAGTTGAGTGGCTGTATTATTTAGAAACTGCTCAGCTACAAAGCCTATGGAACCAATGCATAATATTAGATGCACAATAGTAGATGGAAGAATTTCAAAATTAAAAAATTACTCTTTTCTATTAATATTGTGTTCAAGTATATATAAAGTCCAATCAATATAAAACTTTTCCTAGGATGGTGGCCCCAAATTGGAGATTCATCTTTGTAATTTAGGTATAGAAGTTATATTTATAGTTGTTCCCATCCTAAATAAACTGTTAGGTGACAGCTTACAATAAAAGACACAGACACTTTAATTAAACTAAAACCCATTAAAACAAATACAAATGGGGCTGAGGATATAGCTCTGTGATATAGCACCTGCTTCACACATGTGAGGCACTGGGTTTGATCCTCAGCACCACATAAAAATAAATAAATAAATAAAGATATTGTGTCCATCTACAACTAAAAAAAATAT